GGGTTAGGTTTAGGGTTAGGTTAAGGGTTAGGTTTAGGGTTAGGTTTAGGATTAGGTTTACGGCAGTTAGGTTTAGGTTTAGGGATAAATTTTAGGTTTAGCGTTTACAGCGTGCTTTTTTCTCCGCGCTGTTGTCGCGCTGTGATGACGTCAGCTACGCAGTTTCGTCAAGTGCCCTTTAGTCGAACGCGGTTTTGTGGTGGAACCCACAAATATGGTCACAAACTAGGCTCAAAAATCTCAAAATGGCTATGGCAAAAACAAAAACAAAAAACCCCTCCAGATGGTGGCTGGATTTTATGTGTGCTATACCCATCATCTGGAGTTTTTTGACCCTAGCTTGAGCAGAACCCCTAGTAGTGAAAGCAGCAGAGGAGGTCAGCTGCAGGCCTTACCGATACATTTGCCGAGAGCATCTTGTATAAAGCCGATCTTACACTGTTGTTTGGGCCGGCAACGGAATGATCCTGGCGTATTCTGACAGATAAAATCGGGGAGGCAGTTATGAATACCAGTCTCACATTCGTCAATATCTGGCACATCACAAAAGAAAGAATGAGTTAGCGTCAGGTCTCCTGCAGCCAACCTGTCACGACCGAGATAAAAGCAGTTGTTGAGTTGACAAGATTAAACCTATCTCTCGACCAGTGATGGCGAATGTTTTTCTACTCGGGTGCCAAAAGGGCGCATCCACACCCATAATATAATGGCCTTCCCCCAGCGCATGCGCGCACAACCCACCCTGTGCTCCCCCCCCCCAATGCATGCGGACAGGCCTCACTGAAGCCTCCAGACTTCCGGTAAGCCAGTTAGGCCATTTTTCACCTCCCCAGGCTTCAGGAAAACCTCCGGAGCCTGGGGAAGGGCAAAAAAACCCTGCCCCAATGGGCCTACCAGAAGTTCGTTTCCGAATTTCCAGTAGGCCTGTTGGGCCCATTTTTTGCCATCCACAGGCTCTGGAGGCTTTCCTGAAGCCTGCGGAAGGCGAAAACGGCCTCCCCTCGCCCTCCAGAAAGCTGGCAATCAGCTGGCCAGCATGCGCATGCGTGCTGGGGCTGACGTCGGGCAACGCCTCTCGTGTACCCTCAGATATGACTCCGTGTGCCACCCGTAGCACGAGTGCCATAACTTCGCCATCACGGTTCTATGTTCTATGTTCTAAAATGTACCTTTGCAGAGATTGTAGTCTGTCAGCTGATAACCTGTGCCACAATTAGTCTCCCGCTGGCAACGGAAAGAGCCCATAGTATTGACACAGATCTGACCGATGCTGCAGGCATTAGCTGCAGTGATGCATTCATTAATATCTGCAAAGAAGAGAACCATTTTTGAGGTAGCATGCCATTTTCTGTACAGGTAGTCCTTGATGTACAACTACAATTGGGGTCAGAATTTTGGCTGCTAAGCAAGGCAGATGTTCAGTGAGTCATGCCTGATTTTACAGCCTTTTTTTGTCATGGCTATTAAGCAAATCATTGCAATTATTAAGTGACTCACATGCTTGTTAAGTGAATGTGATTTTCCCCATTGACTTTATATGTTGAAAACCAGCTGGGAAGGACATAAATGGTGATTGCCTGACCCTGGGGATATGGCACTTAAGTCATAAGTAGGAGGACTGATCATAAGTCTTTTTCCCCCCAGTGTAATTGTAGCTTTGAATGTTTGAAAGTCAAGGACTTAGGCTTAAAAACATTTGTCGGCACTGATCAATCATTTATGAGTAGGTTCTCAGGGTAATAAACACTTCTGAAATCATTGTTACAAGAGAAATAAATCTAAGTTGAAGAAAATTTGACAAAAGGTTAAATTACTCTCTGCTTTAAAGGAATAATCAAGAAATTATTGAACTAAACCAGAGCAGTGTTTTTCAAACTGGGCAATGCTGAGATGTGTGGACTTCAACTCCCAGCTAGTGTGTAACTTACTCAGAGTTGAAGTTCACACATCTTAAAGTTCCAAGTTTGAAAAACAGTGACTTACAGTAGAAGAACCAGATTTGAGCAACAAAATTGATACAGCTAGAAGATGAAAGACAGAAAGTTGTTGTTGTTCTTTAATTTTGTTGATTCCCTACTCAATTTATGGTAGATCATCCATAGATAGGTATATTATCTAAACCGTTTATAAATTTCTACTCTGTACCACAGAGTATTGGCCCAGATGGAACATGTTGGCCAGTGGTGGGTTGCAATTTATTTTACTACCAGTTTGCTTGTGTGTGCTATTGCGCGATTGTGAGAAAAGGAAATAATTTAGCAATAGCAATAGCACTTAAGACTTTTATGGTGCTTCACAGTGCTTCACAGCCCTCTCTAAGCGATTTACAGAATCAGCATATTGGTCCCTACAATCTGGCTCCTCATTTTACCCACCTTGCAAGAATGGAAGGCTGAGCCTGGTGAGATTCGATCTGCCAAACAGCCAGTGATCAGCAGAAGTAGCCTGCAGTACTGCACTCTATCTACTGTGCCACTGCAGCTGCATAGCCATAGATTGACTGATTTTCGGCTTCAGTGAAAGCATTGATCATTTCCCTATCCTGTATCGTCTTTAGAATAAGGAGGATAAGATGATTAAAATGCCAAAGAAGGAGGAACAAATGAAGGAACAGAATGAATTCTTGGCATTGGACCTCACCACACCCCGCCAACAAAAAGTGTGTATAGTCAAGACTGTGGTTTTCCCAGTTGCAATGGATGGCTGTGAAAGTTGGACCATAAGAAAGGCTGAGCACCAAAGAATTGAGACCTTTGAACTTTGGTGCTGGAGAAGACTCCTGCGAGTCCCTTGGACTGCAAGGCAATCGAACCGGTCAGTCCTAGAGGAGATCAACCCTGACTGCTCTTTAGAAGGCCAGATCCTGAAAGATTACGGGAAAACTGCAAAGACAAAGGCACAGCCAGGCACCACAG